TGGGTGATTTTATATCGGGGGAGTACCAAAGCTTGTGACGGACCAAATATCAAATATTTGTTCAATAATAGATGATGTCTATTTCTTTATTTTCCGATGTTCTTACATTGCAATATTCAATGCTTGATTTATATAAAAGCTTTTCGATTGTAGCTGTACTTGTTATCAGGAAAATGTTGTTAGACCAATTACAAAAAATGCTGTTAAAGCCTGCTCTTGCCTATGAGTTGTCTGTGATAACGTCACTTGTATCAAATCAAATCGAATCATTTTGGTAAATAAATGTGTATATTTTTACTGGTATCAGAACTTGGTTTTTACATGTTTTATGTGCCGCTCATGATTTGTCCGCCATTAAAGAGTGCCAGGCCGCGCGGCCCGCTTGGTCCAAAACAATGCTCTCTGCCCCCGACCCGATGGAATGCACACGGAAATTAGAGTGGCCCGGGCCGACCATCATCATCATCATCATCAACATGGGTCAGGCGGGGCCAGAGGGGCTTTCGACCAACAAAACAGGGTCCCAAAGAACGAAGGACGAACCAAGGCCGGTCGTCAGACAATCCACCGCTGGTTCAGTCGAGATGGAGATGTGGCCCTTGTGCTACGTACACACTGCACCTCCAGCAGTATTTCGAGTCCATCAGCTACCCTTTACGCGGGGTACTCACCCTAACGCCTTGCATACTTTACCGTTAGCCAAAACACATCATACCGCGATCGGGTATCCAGTGTCGCAATCGCACTTTTTAACTCTACCAGCGTCGTATGTCGTTGGTAACGCGCATTATGGAGTACGAATGGATATCCGGGGACCCAAACGGTACCCCAATACCCCTATGGCAGGATTTGAAGTTATTGTAAGTCTATAGAAGCTGCAAATATTGTATTAGTTAGTTGGATTAGTTTGTGTTCTTCCTTAAGAACATTCTTACATGCAGTCAGCAGTAATTTTTTTTTCGGTATTTAATTAGAACTTTGACATTTCTAACTTGACTACCTCTTGATTGATTGGAATCTAAATCAATTATCGATAGGATTTTTTCATTAGCAGGTTACATTATTTTTCCTTCAGACATGTCCATGTGTGTCTTGTGGATTTTGAGGTACAACCACGTAAAACTTTAAAAAAAATCACTTTTCAATTACAGGAAGTAATAAACTGATAAATTTACATATTAAATCAAATAACGCCCCATTTCTAACAGATTATAATCGTCGTAATTAAAATGCATTCATCCACATTGTTAGTTGCATAATATGTAATTGTCTATTTTTCAAGCCTAAACAGTTGTAGGATCTGGAAGTACAATATAAATGATATGCTTATCCTTATCGAATCGGATGACATTAATTGAATCTGAAAAAGAATAGATAAACATGCATGCGTATAATTTTAGAACAATCGAATTATAATTTGAATACTTTTGATAAATTAATTGAAATAAAATATTTAGAGATGCACCGACTAGTCGCAAAAGCCGACATTCGGCCAATTCTATAGTCGGCAATTAGGCTAGTAAAAATACGCTTATTCTGAGCTGAACCTCAAACAAATTCGCTACAAGCTAATTTTTGCGCCATTGTGTTTCGTTTGAGGTTTTATATAAATGGCTAAAAATCCCAAAAAATCCGATATGGGGCGCAGCTCCTAAATCACTCCCAAAAGTAAATTTTTACGTTTTTTGCAATTTTCTTAAAATCAACAAGTTTTTCGAAAAATTTGTAGAGCACAAAATTTGCAATTTTTTGGTATAAGATACTTTATTATTTAAATAAGCTTAAGATATACAGGGTGAGTTATTAGGCGCCGGGTGGTCTATAACTCCTATACTAACACAGATCGAAGAAACCACTGAATGCAAAACTTGTAGATAAACAAGAGTACTAAACTATACTATACAACTTACAACTGTATTCCTAAATTATTTTCCAGTATACAGGGTGGCCCAATAAATAGTGATGACACAAAGAGATAATTTTTTAAATTACTCCCCCTGACGTTATGACATTTTTGGATTCTGCGGAAAATTCTAGACATATTACATGTACAATATTATATACCTTTCTTCAACTATTTCGGAAATATTGACAGTTGAAAATTGACTTTTTTGCATCTTTGACAGACTGTAAAACCTGAACGGTTAATTTTGATAGGTATATGACATTGTATATAAAATATGTCTAGAACTTTCCATAGAATCCAGAAATGTCATAATATACAGGAAGAGTCATTTAAAAAAATATAGCTTTGTATCAACACTCTTACTTATTGGGCCACCCTGGATACTGAAAAATAATTTAGGAATGTACTACTCCTGTTTATCTACAAGTTTTGTATTTAGTTTTTAAGAAAGTTTGACCCACGAGCCCTAGCGAGTTGGTTAATTTTCTTCGAATAAATAAACATTTCAACTCGTGCTGTAAGTAGCTATACAAAATTTTATCCCATTTTGTGTAAATTTAGAAGATAAAGTACAAGGAAAAATGCCGAGACTGAGTTAAAAATATTTTGAATCACTGAGTTGTCAGATTTTTAGGCAGAGTGACCTAAAATGCCGAGAGTGGGTTAAATTTTTTTTTGAATTTCTGGAGGTGATAAACGTCTACTTACCTTTATTGTTATCCGTTCAATAATGTCATTTTTAAACGTCAAAATGAAATAAAAATATAAAAAAGTAAGATTTATAGTTGGCCCGAGGGACACCAATTGCCCATAGGTATTAACACCTGATAATTCCCGTGGTACATAGATAATTTTATTTCCTACTGAATTTACTGTTTTTTGTTCATTTTTATAAAGGAATAAACCATAAACCAAAATTTCTATTTTTTCTCAAAGTTTTACCTATTCAAGGTAAAATCGGGAGTTATAGAAATCCTTAACTCCCTTGGGAGTTATGATATCCTCAACTCCCGCGCGGGAGTTATGAAATCCTTAACTCTCTTGGGAGTTAAGACCCTGTTTATGATTATCGTAACCAAGGTATTATATGGTTATAATAGTTCAGTAGGAAATAAAATTTGTATTAGTCTTCCTTATCATTCTAGTGACATATGCCTGTATTACTTAACTGGTGTTTACAATTCGGAATATTTATTGTTATAGGTAACCAATCAAAAGCCGGGAAAATTGAAAAAATGAATTTTTAATCCAATTAAGAAGCGGAAATATTCGGACAATGAATTTTAAAACTTCAAATTAAGCCAATCAAAGAGCCGGGAATATTTGAAAATTTAGTTTTAAAGCAAATCAAGAGTCGAGAATTTACAAATATTGAATTTTTTAGCCAATTAAGAATCGGAAATATTCGAATCAAGAGCCGGGAATATTTGAAAATTGAATTTTAAAGCAAATCAGGAGCCGGGAATTTACAAATACTCAAAAACATATTGAATTTTTGAGAAAATCAGAAGCCGGGAAAATTGAAAAATATGATTTTTAAGCCAATCAATAACCGGAAGTATTGGAACATGGAATTTTAAAACGTCAAATTGAGCTAATCAAAAGCCGGGAAAATTTGAAAATTGAATTTTAACGCAAATCAAGAGCCGGGAATTCACAAATATTGAATTTTTAAGCCAATCAAAACCGGGAAAATTGAAAAATTGAATTTTAAAATCAATCAATAACGGAAATATTTGAACATTGAATTTTGAACTACCTATGAAAAGAATGAGCCGACTGGAACTGGAATGAATAAAGAACCGAAATATTTGATTGGTGTTTGTCCCTAAAATAAATAACTGTTGAATTCTAAGGCCTGTATCAACACTAAAACTTCTTTAAATAATACAAATGGGTATACCATTTGATTCGAAATTTTGTACTCTACAAAAAACGTGCCTTGTACTTTTTTGGTTAAACCTATCGTTTTTGAGAAAATTCCAACAAACCTAAAAAATTTACCATTGGGGGTGGTTTTGGGGGCGCAACCCCAAAACCTATCGGATTTTTGGAATTTTTAACCCATTATAGGAAACACTAAAAGGAACACAATGGCGCAAAAATCAGCTTGTAGCGAATGTGTTTAGGGTTGCCCACCTAGTTTTACTAGCCTAAATAGTCGACGACTAGTCGGCTAATTCGCTGACTAGTCGGCAAAAAAATTAAAATTAACAACGCACATATTATAAACTATTGGAACAAAAGTTTTAAAAAAAAAACGAACATTATATTCTACATATTGTAAAATAAACTGTTAACATGATCCTCTTACTGATAACGTTACTATTATTTTAAGGCCCGATTTATTCATCTTCAGATTAACTATCTGCAAGATAAATTTACCATTCTATAATTCTATTGATCGGCGGATAAGTGGTTGACCAATGGGATTACAGATTGCGTTTTCATCCTTCACATTCCATTCCTGACAATTTCTCAAAAAGTGAATAAACCAGCCCTTAACAAAAGCAAAAACAAAAATCAAACTTAACACATTGATATTATTCACCTTAAATATTTTTTTACTGAACAAGAACTTTGCCGCGCATTTTGCTGACAATTGAATTTCACTTCATGGAAGGCCTATTAGTCGGCTATTGACTAGTTGGCAAATACCTTAGTCGGTACATCTCTAAAAATATTCAAGAGAGAAAAAATTAACAGAGGCCGACCATAATAGTATTAAGTAATAAAAACAATTCCCATTGTAAATCATTATTCTACGATTTCCAACTGTAAACTGTAACTTTTTCTTGACCAAGGAAATGAGGTTAGCCTTTATATTACAGAATTAGAAATAATTTTTATTCAAAATAAACTTTCCGAATTTTTGGCTTGAATACAATACAAATTTCTGATTGTTCTACTTTGGAAACCATCCCAATTGTAACTTAATATGTTTGCGCATGTTACACTCGTTTCTTTCAATAGATATACACAAATCAAATATTACATAGCCGAGGCTCTGTGTAGAGAAGCCTCATAGAAAAATATTTTATATTGTATATATTCATGTACCTACTATAATTATGTTTTTCTTTCTTGATTCCAGGCCAAGAAAGACATTTATCAAGTAAAATCCCAAAGACTTATGTTGGCCCAGGATGAATACAACCATCTCAATAACGAATTAGCAACTCTGGGAACATCAAGGACAAGTTGTAAGTTTATGTAAAAAAAATAATTCACTAGGTGCCCAAATGCATATACACTAACCAAAAAACATAGTTTAGCTTTTACATCTGAATTGTTTGCATGATTATTTATTTAAAAATTGTTTGTTTTGTCTTAGTATGTTCAACAACGAGCACAATCAGTACTAAATACGATCCCGATCTGCTCAAATCTGATGTTGCGATGGCGAAAAACCGCGTGTCGAGGTTGAAATCTGAATTAGAACAAATCAGGAATGAAATGAACTTTACACAACGAGGAGTTGAAACTTTAGCAAAGTAAGTACAACAAATAGCTCGATCAAAATTTCAGTTAATTAACAAAACTTTTCTTCAATTTTAGTGTCGAACAAAAATTAAGTACAGGTCAAGGTACGTGCTACAACATCGCCGAGGCCCAAGCTATAATGGCAGAACTGAGGAACATCCAAAAGTCATTATCGTCGGGCGAAAAAGAAAAAGCCGAACTCATGCAATCTTTGGCCAAATTAAAAGACGACTTGACACGGTTGCAACTTTCGGAAAGTTCTCCGGATGTATCGACGTTAAGTCTGCCCCAAGAAAAATTAAGCACCGCTTCTCAGACTGATTTATCTTGCGAATTGGTCCCTATAGGCACGAGATTGGCGGAAATGGCTAAAATGAGGCTAGAGTACGACGAGGCAAGAAAGAGAGTCCAAACGATTCAACAAAAATTGGCCGATTTGGAAGAAAAAGTACAACCAGGACAAGCAGAGTCTGATAAAGATAGGTTATTGCTTTTCCAAGAAAAAGAGCAACTGCTTAGGGAACTGAGAAGTATAACTCCTAGAATGCGTTCTAAAGAAGAAATGTCAGATATTCAAATAAAATGCAGAAAGCTAGAGCAAGATTTAAACAACGCTTTAGAAATGTCAAACAGAGCCATAGCTGATAGATTGCGGCTGCATGAAGAAAAACAATTGCTACTTCAACAATTAAAAGATGGCCTAAAACAAATGACACAGTTGGAGTCCCAACTCAAAACCTTATCAGCTAGCACTTTATCTGTTAGCAGTAGCTCTAGCTTAGGTTCTCTTTCGACGACAAGTAGTAAAGGCTCACTAAGTTCTGGTCTTAGTTTCACAGATATTTATGGTGGCCCTCAATGTGTAGGCTCCTCAAATGTCGACATGGCCGATCTTCATAGAAGAGTAGAAAGGCTGCTGAAAAACGACAGTCCTCATATACCTTCACCAGTAAGATCCCAACCTTCACTATCACCTAGAAGCTCATTATCATCAGTTTCACCTCCAGTATCACCAATGTATGAAAACCTTCCCTGTTTACTACCCCCTCCGACCTATGAGCAAGTCGAAAAAGACAGAAGAATGCAATCAGAGCAAAGATTAGACGAACGATTATTGGAATTAAGGATATCTAATAATGGCAGTAACGAATACATCAATTACACCCCACAAAGGGTGTCGATACCAAGTTTATCCCCTCTAACAGACTTATTGGAAGCACAAGCGACGAATATGTCCCAAGGTTCTGGTTTGGGAAGGCCCAGCAGATACTCCTACGAAAGTTCGAGTGATGCCCCCTTGTCTCCTATCTCAGAAACTCCTCCACCTATGATAGACCATGATGAAATGCTTCAGGGACCTACTTTGTCGCGAACATCGTCTTCAGGCACTAACACCAGGTCAGTTTCTGCAGCAGTCAGCGACGAATCAGTGGCAGGGGATTCTGGAGTGTTCGAAGCTTCAAATCGACGTAGAGAATCGAGCGTATTGGATACGGATACGGCTCAAGTACAAATTAAAATAAGGTATATTATAAACGAGGGTATATTGAATATAACAGTGGAGAAGGCCAGAAATTTGACTGCATTGTTCATACAGGATAGTTCGGAAGTGTAAGTTTTGTATTTTTTTTTGTAGTAAATATAATTTGATTGTTGATTTTCTATTGTAGGTATATAAAAACAGCCCTATTGCCAGCCAATCCGCCACAAACGTGTTGTACAAAACCAGTGAGAGATCTAAAGAAAGCCAATTTCGGAGATATGTTTAACATTCCAGTGCCAGCCAATAAAATATGTACAAAAACGTTGCAAGTCAATGTGTGGAGCAAATTGGTGGGACAGCAAGATATTTGTGTGGTGAGCATCAAAAACATATTTGTGTTTGGTTTGTAGTTATTACTTTTGCTATGACTCAAAATCAGTACAACATAGACCATATGCAAAATTCATGTCCATTTTAAGTGAAATGTCATTGGATGAATTGCCACTGCATACCAGTTTTCATAGTAGGCTGAACTTAAAAGCACTTTTGTTTAGTGTGAATTAATGTTAAGCAAATTATTCTTTTCTGAGATACAAACGCTCTATTGCTATTGAAAATAGTGGGCTGATCGAGGGGCTGATTCATCTCATTTGATGGGAGTATTTTCAACAACTATTTTCTCGAAGTTCAATCTAATATGTTTATGAATTAAACTACTCAACAATAGGTTCGTTCAAAGCCTAAATTTCCCCAATTTTTGAGACCCGACAACTTTTTATTAAATTAACAGAAAAATATGCCGTTTTCTCCATTTTTGTAAGCGATTCCTTGTTAATCATCTGCTTTACACAAAAAAATATAGAATTTGAGTGTTTTTTTTTTTATACAGGGTGATATATGAAGTGCGGTAAAAATTCAAAATTTTTGTTGCCACCCCATTTCTACATTTATTTTTTCCAGACATACCCGAATGATTATTATGTTCATCCATCGAACCGTTTTTGGATTTTTTCTTATATCTTTTTTTGTTTATAAAATAATAAATAATATTAATATTATAAACAATGTAATTCCAAAAAACAATTTCGGGTTTTTTTTTGTCATCCATTTTTTCAGAAAGTTACGTCATAATGGTAAACCTATAAAGAATTGTTTCTTCCATTTCTTGATATTTGCTGTTATCAACAGCAGTGGCGGCTCGCCTATATGGGCAAGGTGGGCACCGCCACCCTGGCGAAAAAATAAGAAAATCATAAAAATTATTTGATATAAATTAGTCAAAACCAAATAAGCACCACTGTTAAAAACACCTTTGCTTTTATTAAATTTTGATTAATCCTAGTAAAGTGTTTGTTCCCATTTACAATATAAATTTTTCGTGAACACTTCATTTGCTTACCTATATTATTGTACCTAAATGGAAATAGACACTTCAGCGGGGTCATTCAAAATTTGAAAAAAAAAATAAAGGTGTTTGAAAAAGTGGTCCTTATTTCGTTTTGAGTAGTTTAAAAACAATTTATCGTTATTATATTATAGCAAATTTTGGCATTGGCACTGAGAAATTATAATTATTAAGATAACAATAATAAACGTTTTATTCGATTGGACTAATAGGTACCACCATTCATGCCTTTTTAAAGCATATTATACCTACGTTAATTCCGCGAGTTGGGCGAGCGGATGGGCACTGATGTTCCTCGCCACCTCGACCGTCGTACAATACGACCTGATGCGATTTTTCTGGCGCCTCCGTCATATTCAAATAAGATCCATACACAGAAATTAGGTCCGGCTGGCGGGGATTCGAGATCGCCACCTCCTTCCATCCTTGTCGCTCGTCGCAAAGCAGCGTAGCGCTGTCGTGCGGCATTTTTCACATTTGTAAGTAGAGGTGTTAATTTCCAATAAATGGCAGTTATACCTATTCTTTAAAAAGTAATTTTTGATTTGAATTATTGAACAACTTTTTCAAAGATTGGCAACAAATTTTAAATTAATCAGTAGGTTGGGTGGTTGGGGATGGAAGGGTATAATATTCATTGACAACTAGAAAATATTAAAGCGAAAATAAAAAGGTTAATTTTTTATTAAACTACCTATACCTAGTATATGGAATGGAATAGGCCTGCAGGATTTCCACAACTACACCGCTGATAACTTGCTCACAGCATTGCTCCAGGCTCCGCCAGTTTACGTTTGAAGTTTTGGAGTTTGAACTTGTTTTGTTTGACCGTATAGCGTAAAGTTAACCGATAATCTTTAACTTCTACTTTTGCTTTTTTTAGTAGTGCAGTGTGCAGGTAGAACTGGTAAAAGTTAATTTTTAGTGAATATAAATCATGAAGCCGTGTCACGATATCGTTTGTAGCCTGTTAGAAACGCCGTTTTCACGTCGAAATGAAATAGAGCGACGCCAAATTGTAGATGCGGGTCGGCCAATTTCAAATATATTGATATCATCTGACGATAAGAAAGGTTCCAAAAAATTTTGTAGAACCTTCCAGTCTTCAACTTTTGATTTAAAAAAATGGCTTTGTGGTAGCCACTATTTGCATCAATTGTACTGTTGGCCATGTATATTATTTTCAAACAACAGGGTAGGTGTTTGGGTATCCAGCGGGTATAGCGATATCAAACATTTATCAGAGGCATCGAAAAAACATGAGGGGTCAAAAGATCACATGAAAAATTTTGCGGCTCTAAAAAATTTTGAAAGAAACTTTACTATTAAGGATGCAATTATTGGAGCGACGTTGATTTCCAAGCAGGTCTATAATGAGAATGTCCGAAAAAATAGAAAATTACTGACGTATTTAATAGATACCACCGTATTTTTAGCAAAGCAAGAACTAGCTTTTAGAGGACATGACGAGAGCGAAGACTCTTTAAATTTAGGGAATTTCAGGGAATTGTTCAATATACTAATAAAAAATGACGTTGAAATATTGGAGCACATCAAAAAAATTGATAATGTTTTCAAAGGAGTTTCAAAAACCGTACAGAATGAATTAATTACTTGCATTTCTGAGTATTTAAAGGAGACCATTAGTGACGAAATAAAGTCGGCAAAATTTTTTGGTGTGCAAGTTGACGATACCACTGATATTGTAGAGAAATCACAATGTGCTATTTCCGTTCGATATGTTTCAAATCAGGGTTGGGTAAGAGAAAGGTTTCTGGGATTTTATGACGTTAGCGAAGATAGAGCCGCTAATGCTATGTATGCATTGCTGTCGTCAGTACTGCAGCCATATGATTTCAAAAATAAATTGGTAGCACAGTGTTATGACGGTGCGAGTGTTATGGCAGGCTCTCTCAACGGACTTCAAGCTAAAGTCAAACAAGAAGCACCCAACGCCCTTTTCACCCATTGTTGTGCTCACAGGCTCAATTTGGTTTTACAAAATGGGTCTAAATGTATAAAAAAATGTCGAATTTATTTTCAGACACTTACTTCAATACCTTCTTTCTTTAATACTTCGGCAAAAAGAACATTTGCGTTGCACTCAGTAACCAGCACAAGAATACCTAGGTCGTGCGAGACCCGTTGGTCATCCCGATCTAAAACTGTTAACGTGGTATATTCGGAGTGGGAAAATTTAAAAATTGTGTTTAAAAACATTTCGGACGATCCAACCTCAGGTGCAGAATCCGCGAACGGGGCCAGGGGATATTCAAGAAATTTAAACTCCCTGGAATTCGCTTTTTTAACAAGTGTATACAATGAATTTTTCAATATAACGGACATACTTTTTAATATTTTACAAAAGAAAACATTGGACATAAATTACTGTCAAAAACAAATTCAGCTAGCTCTAAACCGAATTCGAGCTTTACGTAATGATGGAGAATTTGAAAAACTTTTTAATTTTGCTAACGAAAGAGTGTGTAAAAGTGAATCACCTGGACCCGCTAGAAGAGTAAGACACGAAATTGATAATAATGAAAACATTTCATTCCGGGCTTTATATTTTGAAATATTGGATAACATAATTAACCAAATAGAGATTCGTTTTGCAGACTTGAAAGACCTTAGATTTTTTTCACTTGTTGACTCTTCAAAATTTAAAATTTTTGAAAAAGATTTCCCCGTTGAGCTTCTAAACAATTTATTTACCCAATACCCTAACGTATTTTTAGATAAACAGAAACTAAAAAATGAACTAAGTGTGATTTATGCCGATACAGATTATAGCAATTTACAGCTACACGAAATTTTAAAACATTTTATAGATAATGATTTTTGCGAAATATTTCCTGAATCATACACCTTGTGTGTCTTGGTAGCCTCCATACCAGCAACTTCTGTCTCGGTTGAACGCAATTTTTCAGCTTTAAAACGTATTCTTTCGTTTACCAGAAATTCTATGTTACAAAACCGATTAACGTCACTGTCTTTAATTTCAATTGAAAAGGAACTACTGCACACTTTATATCAAAACAATGAACAATTCATAAATTCCATTATTCATAAATTTGCTTTATTAAAAGACAGAAGAATTAATTTGACATACAAGCAGTGAAGAGTTAATATGCCAATTGCCATCAATTCGCTATTTTCTTATTTTTATAGGTAAATCTTTTTAGCGTTAAATTTTTGCTTGCTGGTGTAAATAGTTGTTTAGAGTTCTATTTTTATTTTTCTTACCTATAATCATAGGCATTATTTGAGTTTTGATTTGTATTATTTTATCTTATGTTTTTAAATGAACTTAATTTAATTTACTTTGTTATTTGTTTTTAAATACCCTCTCGCCTCCCACCCCTAGCTATCCATTTTGCCTTATTCTTATCCTATTCCTTCCTGGCAAAAGTAACCCCAGACCTCCACGTGGTTCTTGCTGGAACAATATTTTGTTAAAATTGCATATTAGGTAAGTATTTTTAAATCAAATTTTTAAATATTTCACAAATTACATTGGCGAAAATAGGGCTCCATTTTCTGCAATAGGAAAAATACAAAAAGCCTTATAAGTCCGAGGGTAAATACTTATTTTTAAGAAAAGAAATTATCCAACAAAACTCAAAAAACTCATATTTTAACGATATTTTTTTACCCCTAAAATTTTCTTCTCTTCATCTAAGATCGTGACCTTGAAAGCGCTATTTTGTTTTATTGCCCACCCTTATTTAAACACCACGAGCCGCCACTGATCAACAGGTCCTAAAAGAATAATTTGGTATTTATACTTGCTAACATTTTGGACGATTTTTTACTTGTGTACAGGGTGTCCCCAAATCATATGCTCTTTAGATGATGGCACTTACTGTATGATCGGTTTTACAAAATAAATAACTACCTACTTACATACAACGTAACTTTCTGAAAAAATGGATAAAAAAAAACCTCGAAATCGTTTTTTGGAATTCCATAGCAGAAGTGATATAAAGCCTTCAAAGTAACTCGAAATTTATTTTCCGTCCTTGACACTTTTTTATCTGTAGAAAATGGCAAAATTATGCAAAACTAGAAATTTCAACTTTAAAGTATCCTCGCACACCCTGTATGTTTTGTATAAGGCTTTTTTACGTCAGTAAGTTTTAGTTGTGATCATAGCAGGTGAATTCAAACTAGCGGATCCTAAATTACTGCTTAAACTTGTTCACGATGGGTTTGAAGCTCTGGGTGTCATTATAACACTAAATTTGCATTATTTTAAAAACAAAAAAAGATATGAGAAAAAATCCAAAAACGGTTCGAGGGATGAACATAATAATCATTCGGGTATGCCTAGAAAAAAATAAACAAAAATAATTGTAGAAATGGGGTGGCAACAAAAATTTTGAATTTTGACCGCACTTCCTGTATAAAAAAAAACACTCAATTCTATATTTTTTGTGTGAACCAGATGATTAACAAGGAATCACTTTCAAAAATGGTGAAAACGACATATTTTTCCGTTAATTTATTAAAAAGTTGTCGCTTCTCAAAAATTGGTGAATTGCTCGGAATGAACCTATTGTTGAGTAGTTTATTTGGCCAGTGGTTATAACTGTGTGAAGGAGTACCAAATTTCCCCAGGAGAAATATTATTATTCCTATTGGCTGTCTGTTTCCTATGGATAGTCTTGAGTTGAGTGTTAATAGTAGGCACTCCATGCCACTCATATTGCAATGAAATTCTCAAAATATGGTATCAACAGTAGTGAAGGAAAAAAAAAACAATTAGAAATTAAGGCACAAAAAGGCATTCAGACAGGAACTAATGATCCAAAATCTAGTTTTTTTTTTATCCAGTAACTTTTTAGACCATTTTCGCCTTTTCACTGATTCTAGTTCATTCTCTTTACCAACAAAATCGCAGCTATAACGGCAGTAGCTTATCTCCTTCCTTCTCTTCTAAAGTTGAAAATAACCCAAGAATTGTCTACAACAAATTAATCGCAATTTTGTCCCTAGTCTTAAGGTAGCTTTATTGCCAATAAACCAAACTCTTAACCCGCCCAAATATTGTTGGCAACGAAATCTATAGAACAACAATAGATCTTCCGCATTATGATGTTTCTATGCAAATTTAAGCTTTTTGCTATTTTCTGTTGTATATTTTTCAAACTTATAACGAATCTGTAATGTAATCAACATAGCATTCTTGTACGAGCCGCATAACAACGGAAACGGAAATAGCACAAAAAAATTCTTTATCACATGCCACTCATACCAGCAAACCTAATTAAAATTTAATAGCGCATTTTTCTTACAAGTAGGTTCCCCATTAAATATTTATTAAAGCCAATGTATTACACATGTTCTTTTTAATCAAGAGTCATGTTTTATTTAAAATTAATTAATTGTTTTCAGGGATGCGCCCAAGTAAGCCTAGCAGACTTCAACATAAACGCGACAACGCAGAAATGGTACAACATTCTCAGTCTCTTAGAGGAAGCGCCGGTGCCTCATTCGAAACAAAATTCCGATGTGTCGATTACGAGAGAAAAGCCGGAAGTCGCGGACATGTCGTACAAGCAAAGCGGCAAAGAAGAAAGTTCCGACGATTCTACAATAATATCTTCCCAAACGAGTACCTTAACTAGAAACCAAGAGACTATAGTACCTTCCGGTATAAATTTAGATTTTGATGATTTATATAGTTGCTTAAAAACGACAGCAGAATATGACAGTGCTGACGATTCTGAAGAAGAAGAAGAGGATATCGAGGAGGAGGAAGAAGAAGAAGAAGCATTAGAATTTAGACCAAATGAAAAATTAGATGTAGTAGAAGAGGACAAATACCTAGACAAACAAACAAATACGGAATGTGCCTTTTATCCTGAACAAGCCAAACACATGAAACTAGCTGCCCAAGGGAGTCTAGAAGATCGAGGAGCCATCAAAAGGAGCCAAACCTTCACTCCAAGTGCTCATGTATCTAAAAACGATTACATCTGCAGACTAAACAGGAGCGATAGCGATAGCGCCATGCCTCTCTATAGGCGAGGCAGCAAACCTTTCGAAAGACACGCAGTAGAAAGACGTTCCTTAAGGTTCAGAAGACCTTCATGCTCGATGGCACATTTATCAACCAGCAAATCCCAATCGCATATTCCACAAACAGCGAGAACTTCTATCGATTTAGAATTGGACTTACAAGCTCAACATACAAGACTAGAAATGCTCAACTCAGAATTATTGAGGCTACGAGAACTGAAGCAGAGGCTCGAAGTTGCTAAGGAACAAGGAGATAATGAGTTGGCTAGTTATATTTTGGAGAATCAACAGTTCCAGACTTTGATTGCTCAAGCTGAAAAGACGATGAAGACGCAAGACGAGAAGAAGGTGGAAAAAATGTTAAGGAAAGTGTCGAGGGAGATTTATAAGCTTAGAAAATCGAAAGCTGGTAATGGAAAGCCAGATATTATTTCTTTCAAGTAAGTAACCATTTAAACTTTACTTTAATGTTCGCCTTTGAAGTTTTTTGTTAAAAGGTGGATATTAACTTTGGCATAGGTAAATACCACCTGGTTTGTCCGAGCCAAATGATATCCTGCCTTTGCACAGGCGAGAAAAGTCCTCTTGAAGTAATTTTTGTTGCTTTCAAGAATAAAATTATCTCTAGCATGTTGTTTGTTTTTGGACTCTGACAACTGTGAGAGTTAGAAATTTCCATGTTAAGAGGCCAACAACAAATTCAAGCGCGCGAAATTCATTCTTTGTCGCCGAGTTCAAAGTAGGACCGTGATAGACGACGTTACGGCAAATATTTCCGAGATAACGGAAGGGTGTGATCAAATTGCATGGAAGGTGAATAATAAATCCTATGGGCTTTTGTGGAGGCAAAACTAATACACCTATCATATTTAATCTAAATTAAAAAGTATACAGTTATAATAATAGTTTTATAATTTACATTGTGCTTTTTATTTAACAAATAAGAATGTGGAGAATGAAATGTGCGGAAACACAAAAATATATTACAAAGATAATAAAATTTACCTATACAAATACAGCAAAATAGAGGAGCGTTCTGGAAGCCGTATCTCGTCGTTTTTTTTTTTTCGGCGTAGAACCAAATCAAACCTAGTAGGTTTTGTTAAGCATGTCACTGGGCATACGAAATCTGAGGTGCAGACATTTTCCCGTGGTCTCGAACTTTTTTATGACAAAAAAAGTAAAAAAAATATATTTTTAATAAAATGTGTTTTTCTTTGTTTCTACCGTCATATCTTCAAAACCAATCAAGTTATCGAAGTAAATTTTTTTTAAAATTAAAGTACACACTTAGGCGCTTTTAATAGTGCCTTCGTTCCTCACGAAGTTTTCCCCTTTATTTTTTTAAAAATCGGAACATCCAGGAATTACAATTTTAGGTCTTACAATTTTCACCAATCGACAAACTTTTTTATTTTTGAAATTTTTTATATACATACAGCGAAGCAAATGATGCCAAAACATGACAAAAGTTTTTGAAATTATTAGTTTTTACCCAATATATATCGTTTGGCCACAGCGATTTTTTATTTGTGCGCTAAAATAATCTAACGCGAGCGAAACCCATCGCGAGACAGTATTATACCGCATTTACTCAGAGATAGGAGAGTATAATACTCATAAGACCTTATGACCACTTAGTAGGGTATCACATATTTTTAATTAAATTAAATAGAAGCGGAAATATGGATATAATACCTATAATTCCTAAAATATATTTAGATTTCAATAAAATGTGGCCCTAACTTTCGACATTAAAAACATTCCTGTTCATCATTTTCCTCTTCTTCAAAATCTTCAATAGTGTTATTACAAAAACGACATTTACACTCGTTACAACATTTTAGACCTTCTTGCAGGCAAGCACATTTTCGATTTTCACCATTTTTATCTGATGAATAAATATACAGGGCTTTCATTTCAAAACTTGCCATCCACGTTATCTGCGTAAAGAGGCATATTCGTGCAAAACGCCGAAACACGTCAACAAATTTATTGGGGGGGGGGGGGGGGGGGAGGTTTTTCACGTGAAACTGGAATCCCTTCTTTCAACCCCCTAACCTCCAGGGCTACGCTACCACACCACCTCAAAATTTCTAAATGAGACAGGGGGTCGAGTGATAGATCAATTTGAAGGGCTGTTGAGTCTGTAGAATTTGCCGTTTCATTTTTTGAATTTGACCTCAGTGTTGTTCAAAAATGCCTATTCATTTTTAAACACACCTGCTTTACCTACAATTTTATTACAGCCCCGCCACCAATCAATTTGTTGACTGTTGAGGTGTTTTGGCGATTTCCACGAATATGCCTCTTTACGCAAATAACATGGGTGGCAAGTTTTGAAATGAGAGCCCTGTATAATGATTGTCGAACAAAATTAGGAATTGGCTTGTCATTGGAAAATATTGGAGTTCAAAACTCGTCAGATAAATTCCATACTGAACCGTCTGCATTTGTAAGTGGTGTGGGCTTATTGCTACTGTACCATGTTTAAGTTCAACATAATACACCTGCAGGAAATTATAGAATATAGCTACTAATTATAGGAAATGAATTGTCTTATATCCTACTGAACTATTAGTAACCATATATATCTTGGTTACAATAATCATTAATAGGGTCTTAACTCTCGCGCGGTGGTTAATTATTTCATAACTCCCGCTTTTACCTTGGATGGTACAACTTTGAGGAAAAATTGAAATTATGGTTTATTCCTTTATAAAAATAAACAAAATACAGTAAATTCAGTAGGAAATAAAATTATCTATTCACCACGGAAATTATCAGGTGTTAATATCCATGGGCAATTGCTGTCCCTCGGGCCCACAAACTTTGCCCTGGGGTATTAACCATCCTCATAATTCCCTTGATACAGCAATAACTATAAATCTATTTTTACCTTAAAAAGTGCTGATAAAGAGCGCGTTCGGTTGGAGGAAGCTCCGAGGATGGTTTGTTTGTAGTTGTTGCTAGTTTTATCCGCAGGTCATTTAGTTACTGTATTTGTTTGTCTTGGTTTTTGTAGAGTAGAAGAACCAATTTTTTAGCGAATTCCTTAGAGCAGGTAAAGCGCACTCCTAGAGACATAAGGAGTAGGAACACGCGATTTTGCTATGAAACTAAAGTGAAGCCAATTTTTAGCAGGTGTTTGTACACCAAACGACAGGTAAAGCATTGAATTAGCTATACCGCCATTGTTTTGGATCTCAAAATACCTGAAAAAAAAAAACGGTTACATTTTCCTATTCCATGTTCCTTCTCCTCCCACTTAGGAACTTACCTACTCTAAGGCGAATTCTAATGCTTTGACATGTGACTGCAGTGTTAACTTAGGTGCTGATTCAATTTTAAAAAAATATTTCATCCCCAGCAACCCGGGACAAGGGGTTCAACTGGGGGTTGGAAGCATATTTTTTGAATTATTTTTAAATTTCTCGAAATCTGCTCGTTTCTACAGATTTATATTTGAACCACAGTTAACTTAGGTGCTGATTCAATTTTAAAAAAATATTTCATCCCCAGCAACCCGGGACAAGGGGTTCAACTGGGGGTTGGAAGCATATTTTTTGAATTATTTTCAAATTTCTCGAAATCTGCTCGTTTCTACAGATTTATATTTGAACCACAGTTAACTTAGGTACTGATTCAATTTAAAAGAAATATTTCATCCCCAGCAACCGGGGACAAGGGGTTCAACTGGGGGTTGAAAGCATATTTTTTGAATTATTTTTAAATTTCTCGAAATCTGCTCGTTTCTACAGATTTATATTTGAACCACAGTTAACTTAGGTGCTGATTCAATTTTAAAAAAATATTTCATCCCCAGCAACCCGGGACAAGGGGTTCAACTGGGGGTTGGAAGCATTTTTTTTGAATTATTTTCAAATTTCTCGAAATCTGCTCGTTTCTACAGATTTATATTTGAACCACAGTTAACTTAGGTGCTGATTCAATTTAAAAAAAATATTTCATCCCCAGCAACCCGGGACAAGGGGTTCAACTGGGGGTTGGAAGCATATTTTTTGAATTATTTTCAAATTTCTCGAAATCTGCTCGTTTCTACAGATTTATATTTGAACCACAGTTACCTTAGGTGCTGTTTCAATTTTTAATAAATATTTCATCCCCAGCAACCCGGGACAAGGGGTTCAACTGGGGGTTGGAAGCATATTTTTTGAATTATTTTCAAATTTCTCGAAATCTGCTCGTTTCTACAGATTTATATTTGAACCACAGTTACCTTAGGTGCTGATTCAATTTTAAAAAAATATTTCATCCCCAGCAACCCGGGACAAGGGGTTCAACTGGGGGTTGGAAGCATATTTTTTGAATTATTTTTAAATTTCTCGAAATCTGCTCGTTTCTACAGATTTATATTTGAACCACAGTTAACTTAGGTGCTGATTCAATTTTAAAAAAATATTTCATCCTCAGCAACCCGGGACAAGGGGTTCAAATGGGGGTTGGAAGCATATTTTTTGAATTATTTTTAAATATCTCAAAATCTGCTCGTTTCTACATTTCTACGTTTCTCAATTCATCAATGTTAAGCCCTAAATATTTTATAGATGTTACTTTCTGTAAAGGAATGTTGTTAATTTTAATATTCACGTTTTCTATCAATTTATTCTTGGTCCTAAACACTATAAATTTGTTTTTTTCAATATTTATTTTTAATTTGTTTGCATAAAGCTTTAAGATAATTATCTAGGTCTTGATTAACTTGCGCCTCTAAATGCCCTCTATCTGACCCTGTATAAACCAAAGCCGTATCATCTGCAAATGTGAAATATCTGGCCCTAACAGGTGCCAACTTAAGATTGAGTACATAAATTGAGTAAAAAAGCGGCCCTAACACTGAGCCTTCCATCTTAACAAATTTTTGCCTATTACTTAAATCTGTTTTGATCAGATTTAAAAAATTTCCCTGAAACCCTAGACAATGAAGTTTAATCAAAAGTTTATCCAATGAAACGACATCGAACGCCTTCTTTAGATCTACAAACACAGATATAACAACGTTTTTTTTATCTAAATTTGCCGATACATAATTAACAAAGTCGAATGTACCTAGCTGATAGCGTATTGCTGTTCTTAATGAAACCATGCTGAAAAGGATCAACATTTAAATATTACATAAATCCGATGAAACGAGCAAATTTCGAGAAATTTAATAATAATTCAAAAAATATGCTTCCAACCCCCAGTCGAACCCCTTGTCCCGGGTTGCTGGGGATGAGATATTTTTTTAAAATTGAATCAGCACCTAAGTTAACTGTGGTTCAAATATAAATCTGTAGAAACGAGCAGATTTTTAGATATTTAAAAATAATTCAAAAAATATGCTTCCAACCCCCAGTTGAACTCCTTGTCCCGGGTTGCTAGGGATGAAATATTTTTTTAAAATTGAATCAGCACCTAAGGTAACTGTGGTTCAAAT